GACGTCATAACACTCGACCTAAAGCAAGAAAAACGACCGGAAAGTGGGGAAACTTACGGTTTGGGGCGGGGTCCTTCGAGCTGTCCGAATTCCTGCTATTCGGCAGAGCATGCATGCTGCCACAGTTAAAATGTGGGGTCCCGAAGCGGCTCTGCGTGTCTGCCTTGGTAGGGACCGTCAAATTTCAAATTGTGCGGCTTTGGAAAACGTATGTTCTCGCCGTTTTCGCGCCTTCTAAAGTGGATTTTCGGATTCAACGTTGCGGATAACCCTCGGTAAGTGGATTTTCTAGAAATCGAGTTTTTTTCCCGGACACTGCCTTTATATCACCTTGCAATAAAGTTCAGTAGATAGTATACAATAGTTTTGTTATCACAGCGCACTCAAGATTACGGAGGCTTCCAGGCATCTTGACAAGAGCCGCTATAAGCTTAGCTATGGTAAATCGAGAAATACTAGCTTTGGTTATGACAGGCCATCCACATATTACTTCACGAGTTAGTCGGGCGCGATTTGCCAGTTACCAGATGTCTTCAAATGTAACGCTAGCTTATCACAAATATATAGCGTGTATAACTTTTCCGAATAGATAAATCTCCCGCTTTCTGTATTCTAAAATGCGCCTACGACAAGATATGAACAATTTGACTATTGCCAAATCACGTCGCTTCTGAAATCGCCTGAAGTATGCTCGGGGCTATAGGGGTATTCGTTCTCGCTTCGCGAATTAAACTACATGCCTTCGCTAGCCTATGCTACACAAGACGAAAGTCTCCGACAACGGGCAATGCATGCAGCAGCAGGCATTTGTCGATTTTTTGGAAAACTTCAAGCTATGAGGCTGGGACTTGGTACAAGGGACTAAGTGAAGGTGCTGATTATGAATAAAAACTACTTTATCAGTTATCGATTTTTGGGAAATGTTGAGCTACGGAACTGGTAGTTGGTATAGGGGTGTAAGGGTGCTGATTATGAATGAATGTCTGCAAGTCTTAGATATGGTTGCTTTAGTTATTCGACATTCGAATATTTATTTTAAATTCGACTCCTAGTGTTCGAATATAATCGATATTCATTCATTCGATATTTTTATCTTCTGATTTCATACGAAATTCATTCATTCGAAAATTCTTAAATCTCGTATTTTTTTGTTATTCGTTTACTTGAGTTTTTTTAAGGATTTGTTCGATACTTGTTTATTCAAATTTTATTTTCGGAATCATTCGATATTCATTCATTCGATGAAATTCGAATTTCCCCAAGTATAATGCGCAGGTCAAAACTTAATCTGCCAATTTTACAGGAAAACTGGGTTATTGTCGCTTCGTCAAGGTTCTCCAAGAAACTGGGAAGACTTTTGCTCACAAGTGTATTCAAAGTGTTCATTGTTCTTTATGGCGGCTATGAAGCCAGCATAAGTTAACCGCTTAACCTCTTCACTTTTGCATTTATTCTTCTACACAGAATCTTATATATAAAGCTGAATGTCTGTTTCTCTGTCTGTCTGTCTGTATGTCTGTCTGTCTGTCTGTCTGTATGTCTGTCTGTCTGTACGTATGTTCCGAATAGAAAATTCCATTTCTGAACCGATCGGGACCAAACTTAGCACACATACACTTCGGGCCCCGGCGGGTGTCATAGGCTACTTTTCGTCATCGATCGATATCGATTTTATCGATTTTTTGCAAAATTTCAGCTACGGGGCTGGGAGTTGGCACAGGGGGGTAATCGAGCATGCTGATCACCCCCGTGCGGGTGATCAGCATGCTCGATTACACCCCCCTGCCAAATTCCAGCCCCCTAGCTCAAATTTTGCAAAAAATCGATAACATTGACATCGATCGATAACGAAAAGTGGACTGTGACACCCGCCGGGGCCCGAAGTGTATGCGTGCCAAGTTTGGTCCGGATCGGTTAAGAAATGGAATTTTCTATTCGGAACATACGGCGGAGCCGGGTAAGCCAGCTAGTTTTCTCATAAAGCTACCGATCTTACATGAGAAAGCTTTTGGAATGGGTAGTTGTTTACAATCATTCGTGTTGGTTAGCATTGCGCGGTGAGTTTTGAAAATCATTACTTATAATAACGGGCTGAAGATGTTTACGTGTTTTTGTGTGGATGTGTGTAAGTCTGTCTGTCTGTCACGAAATTCATAGAACGTGTTCCAGCCAACCTCCTGAGCCCAAATTTTGCATAGCGCCTGCTACCAACATGAGAGTCTACTATACAAAAGCACGAGCGAATCCACTGTGTGGATCCCTCAAAAAATGCGCGTCAACCGGATCCACTTGGCTTTTGGCCAGTAAAATTGAGTCTGTAGCGCAACTTTTTGCAAATTCACCTATATTTTTTGACAAGTTATTGTGCAAGCCATGGTCTTTAGCCTAGAAAATTGAAGTAAAGTTTATTAGTTTGCGAAAACGGCGCCAAAAAGAATTGGTTGCGTAAATGTTCAATTTGCCAAGATTTTACCCGATCGTTTGAGAAGATTTTTGCACAGATATGTAGCCCACGGTGATTATGGCATCTTATCACGAATAGCAAGCCATGAATTCAAAAACCAATGCAACTTTGCATTTGTTCTTTCGAGAAAAGTTTCGTTCATGCGCAATTACCGATCTCATATGGAAGAGCTTTTGGAATGAATAGTTGTTTACAAATCATTCGTGATAGCCTGCATAGCGCGGTGAGTTTCACTGTCATTATTGTCCCTCTTGAACTGCACCGAGTTCAGCATGTAATACATTTCTCAGACTTTGCTACACTATCTTTGCAAAAACTTTTGAATGAAAAGATTGCAGCTTTGGGAAAACTGTTTTGCTTTAGGGATCGGTCAGTATTGCCGGTGTTGAAAGTATTGGAAGTGTTGCCGGTATTGAAAGTGTTTAATCTCGAGTCATTTGTAACTTAGTATGTGAGACTGCACACTAAGCCCTAATAGCGACGGCACCCGTACTGGTGGTCCCAGCAAAACATTTTCCAGCCTAACAGAATATAGAGTTATGTTCTACTGACTAACATATAATCAACTAAAACAAAGGAAACAAGGGAACAAGAAGAAATCGCTGGAAATGAGCAGGTTCCAGTTTCGCTTCGTCAGTTAGCGTGTTTAGTGTGCACTACGCATATTAAGTTACAAATGACTCGAAAGTGTTGAAAGTGTTGCCAGTGTTGCCGGTGTGGGAAGTGTGGAAAGCGTTTAAAGTGTTTCTCATTCTTCCTCGACCGACCTTGCCGGTTGCTGAGTATGTGTTTTGCTCACTAATCGCAGAAGCGCCGATTTGACACCGAACACGCATACTAATCGGCTTTTAGCAGCGTTTTCAAATATCGGAGATTGCCTATGTAGGACGAATGCTCTACTTTCAGTAAAGTTGGAGTGAGGATCTTTTGCATGCGAAAGCAATTCTCGATAGCTTTTGGGCCTAACATCAAAAATTGACTTCTATGTAATAATCTACAATTCAAGCAGACCTTTTTCCCGATATCCTGAGAGTGTACGCGGGTGCGATAAAGTGCTTCCGATTTTCTTCTAAAGCGCTCCGTTCAGTTGCCGCGCATTTGTAGAGTGAGACCATATCCAATCTGATGATAGGTACTATGTCCGGTACTGATTGGGGATATCCTTTATTTACATCAAAACAATTTTGCTCATCATAAATAGCATAGTGAACTATTTATTTTGGAAGAATGAGCTATTACGTCCTATCAAACGTTCTGCATGCTTTGGTGACTTTACAAGCTGCTATAAACGTTCACCCACAATCGCCAGTATGTTCGTCGGAAACACCGCCCTTATTTGGAGACCCGTTTCCGATTATCAGGCTGTGGCCTGATGAGTTTAAAGACCTCTATCAAAGGATCGCAAATGGATTGGAACATCCAAGAAACCATATCGGCCATATTACTGGCCGCAACAGGCTGATGATATACGTGAGGTGAATATTTACAACATCCGACCTTTTTTCAATAATAATATGCAGATTTCTATACAGATTCCACACAGAGGATGTCGTTTTCCGCCTCTGCCTTAGACATAGGCATGGGAAGAACGACTATCTCGTACATAGTAGCCGAAGTGACGGAGGCAATTATCAATGGTACATATATTGAGTGGAAACGGTTCAAAAGAGTATGCAATTCAGGGTTGCACGACCAAGCATTCCCACCTACAACGCATGAAAGATTTGAAGAGGTCGCTGTAAAAACCCAAGAACGTTTTGATTATCCTCGGGCCCTTGGGCTTGGACGAAAAGCACATTTCAAGGTTTCCGCTCCGGTACTGATTAATGAATGGCATTATAAACAATCTTTTTAGAAAACCATGCATTCAGGAAGTGTTTTTTGGATTTACAAACACTACTATTCCATAATACTTCTTGCGATTACGCTCAGATAATCGCTGGGGGCAGGCGGCCATGCGAATTTTGAGCAAGCGCGCACCGGAAAAATTCGCTGATTTTTTGCGCTCCGCTTACAGAAATTTGGAATAATTTTAGCGAAATTTTAGACGAATGCTTGGAGAACAATCGCGGTTTCCTTATAGATTAGTTGCGGCGCAGTGGCCGCATTCTCGCGGACTTTCCGCGAGAATATGCAAAATCTCCTGGGCCCGCACGGTCCTTTGTGGAGGACCGCGCAGCCCCCAGGTACTTTCTGCTGGGAGAAAGTACCTCAAACTTGAGTAATTAAATCAAAGGTGACGCCTCTGCCACACAGAGACTTACCTGTGCTCGACGTACGCCCGAAAATGCGTAAAAAGATCCCGAGCGCTTGCTGAAAGTTTGGCCAGCGCTTGCTGAAAGAAATTATTTGCCGAGCGCTTGCAAAAAATGCTGTATTACTGCCCGCTGGCAGAATATGCGATCGTAAAGGAGTGCCGCCCGCTGAAGGTTTGGCCACGCCCCAAAATTCTGCTGATCGCCTGCAGAAAAGCGCGAGTTTGCGGACCGCCTGCCCCGCTGATTATCTGAGCGGATGCTGATTGTCGTATAATGGCTTACGACGTTGGCGCCCCCGGTCGCGCTGGTGATGCGGGAGTATTCCGCAATTCCAACATCAAGGTGTGGTCTTCCCTCAAAGAATGAGAAATTCAATGAGTTTAGATCTTCTTGGAAGGGCGAACTGATTTATTTCCCCCTACAACTGATCTTGGTAATGTTGGCCCCGTGCAATATCCTATACTGCTGACGGGGATTCGGCCGAGCTTCAGATTTGTCCGGCCTTATAGACAAAGAGAAGCTGACACTTCAGATAAGCGAAGATTCAGTAGCAAATTGACCAGGTCAAGCTATATATTAGTTTGACCTGAAAAGTTATCTCTCAGTTTAGAGGTAGACGAATTTTTGAGTCAACCTTTGGACTTTTAGCTTACAAGGAACGGATACTTGGTGACCGTGACCTTTTGGAATCAAACGTATACCATCAAATGCATCTTGAAGCACTGATTCCAAATCTGTTTTCATTATCTGCTGTGCGCTCTTCCCAAAGGAGTTATGGGCATTTCTTGTCACCAAAATTTGCATTGTTTTTGATACAGGATCCACCAATATCGCTAGAATGTTCGCTTACGCATTACAAAAGAACGTACAAATAAAGCGCCCAAAAACTCTTTTTTGGAAAGTGCTTTCTAGATTTAGCAAACTGAGACTCAATGCAACGTGATTGTTCTTCGCTGCGGATGAATCATCTTTAATTTATGTCTGATGCTTGATTTGTGCTTCTTTCGTTTTCAGTGGTGTTGAAGAAAGCTGTGCTTTCCTTCAAATTCAATCGCAGTAGTATTTCGACGGGGTTTTTTGTTGTTGTTTGTATTAGGTTGGAAAGAAAAGAATGTCGCTTTTTTGGGTTTCTTCAGCTAAAATTGCTATTTCTTAGGAACTAGAGCATATCGGAGGCCCAAATTTCATGATTAAAGTATCGAAGGTTTGTAGTACACAACTGCATAAATGGGCGGAGCACAGGGCTACTAGGGGCGGAGTTTGCCATTTTTGGTCTTTAACTTTTTACCTGATTTCTAATCGCGAAAAAATATGGCAAGTGCACAACTGGATAAGTGCGTGGGTCTAATGCATGCCGGAGCAAGTGAGAGCTTCGTAAGGCTTTTTGTGACGAAACTCCGATTTTTGGCACATTGAGTTACTCTTATGTTTTGGCTTTGAACTTTGGGTCGTTTAGATGTCATCTTGTAGAGCTTGCTTTATTTCATCAAATCGTACCCTTCACATATTTTTTCCGATTCGTCTTGTTCTCCGTTGTAAACAACATCCTTTTCATTCCAACTTAAATTGCTGAAACAGAGAAGGTAGTGATGTTTGTTCAAAAAAAAGGAAGTTGATAGAAAATAGCAAAGGATCAAAGCAGAAAGATACTACTAGTTGGGATAGATAGCGAATCACCTGCTTGAACGGCGTTGCGCATCTCGGACATCATCACACATCAGCGCTGGCGGTAATATTATTGTCCTTAATACGTTAGAGAGTAGGGTTCTGTTTTCTTTTCAACTATTTTACAGCTTAAGTCTTGGATGCTCTTGTAATTCATCACCGGAAATATTTTTAATCATAGACATGTCAAATTGAATCAAAATGAATCGTAATGTTTTGTTCCTGACACCTGGAACAGTTCTATGGAATCTATGAAAAAGTTCTAGACCAAAGCCCACACTTGTGAGAACTCTTTAGAGAATGGATTTGGATAACGGAAAACAACGAAATTATGATAGTGTCAATGTTATAAACGTAACCCACTTAATTTGTGGACAGAGGTTATTAACGCTCACGCATATTTTTTGGAGATCATTGATTCGAATATAGATCCTTCTTTTGCAAAGTAATTATAAATTCAGCAAGCGTTTTTTGCTGTGGGTCATTCGCGTCGCTGGCGTACTCTTCTCATTTGTAGGTTCCCCAAATAAGCATGAGCCTGATCCCGTTCAGGAAGGCTTCATGTATCGCGGGCGCGAGCGCCGCGCCTTAGTTATTATGCCCTTCCGATCACCTTACCATTTGATGAAAGCACTGTCTCAAGAATGGTCTTTGTATTTCTTTCTCGCAAACATGCTTTGCCTGAACAACATTTTTTCACCCTCCACCCATCAATATCTCTCATTGTAGTCTACAACAAAGTATTTCTTCAGTTGTTATGTAGTGTGGACTTCGTCTCCGTGTTCGACTCTGCTTTCTGACGATAAAGACAAGAAATTGTCGTTATAACAATCAGTCCAAGTCATTCTCCTGCTCTATTCACCTCTTCCGCTCAACCAACAAACAAATTATGTGGTTGCGTGATGCCTAATTTTGTTTCAAAGCAAATGCAGCGGATAAGAGGATGCGTTTGCCTTATGCGATAATTGGTTGTTTTATGTTCTATCAGATAATACATAGCATGCATCTAATTCTGCCATCATAAATTTTCCATTAATTTATCGCTTAATATTGATTGCGCCTTTTTCTTGCCGTGATCGGTCATCATCTTCATCGTTCGCGCATCGTTTCAGTCAACTTTTTTGAACTTTTCGTTTGAAAAACAGTTTAGCCTACATGGAGGGATTGAGCGTCACATATCGCGAAGCGTGGCTGAACTTGCTGGAGCAAGAACCTCGTCTTTGGGACCGGAGGATAAAGGAACATCACATCAGAGTACGGAATTCAAAGAAGCGAAGGAATTTGTCAAGTAATCCTAAACAAGACATATTGCTGTGGAGAAAATGGCCACCAATAGCCGAATTTATCAGTGAGCAATAGAATCTGATGATTTTGCGGTGTCGTGATTGTACCCTAAAATCCGTCATATAAGATCGGCTCGCAGTAAAGACCGCCTCGCCGATAAGACCGCAAAAGGGCTCTCAGTTAAGTCCGCTTTTGTGACAGCCTCGCGCGCCTCGCGCGCCGCCAAGTCCCGCGGATAAGTCCGCCTTATTTTTTTCACATGAAAACAAGAAGGATGCGCAATTGCGCTGCCTTTTTTGCTCTCAGAATGAACCGAAGCAACAGATCTTTATTCAGGTAGCATTCCATGTTCATCATAACAAACATTCATGGCAACAACTTGACCAAAAGAACGACCATCATTATCGTTATTATCAGCAACAATCAAAGCGTCGAAATCCTCGTTCATGCCTTCTATTATCGATTCGTCATCGAGAGCCTTGGTGAAACTGTTCGCAATGGTTTCTTCAGTGATTGCATTGAAACTCTCGTAGACTAGTGCAGCTACCTCCCCGTAGGTCATCCTTTTCCTGGAGCCGCCTGTTGTGTACCTTGCTCGTGCTGAATCGGCCATCCATCGCTCCCATCCCGCCCTCAGATTGTCTTTGAAGGGCTTATTGATGCCGACGTCGAGAGGCTGTAGATATTTGGTCATTCCGCCTGGAATGACCGCGATCTTTGAGTGCTCCTTGAAAAGCTCTCGGACGTCTTCTGTGAGATGGCACCTTAAAAAAGCAAGATAAGCTCAAGAAATGATAAAATACGAAACGATACCTTGCAGAATCTAATATGAGTAATGACTGCGAGGGATCGTTGTCATAGCATTTCCGTTTGTTCCACACCTCATGGAGCCATGTCCTCATCAGTTCGTGATTCATCCAGCCTTTATCATTGGCTCTAACTACCACTTCAGGAGGGAAATTATCCTTGGGAATCCTCTTTTTCTTGAATATGATCATCGGTCTTAATTTCTCTCCAGCGGCCGTCACAGAGAGGACAACGGTAAAATTCGATTTTTCGTGTCCTGTTGAGTCAATCCTTACAGTATCGGCTCCCACTTGATCCACGGTCCTTGAATAAACCATATCGAAGGGCACTGGGACTTCATCGACATTCCCAAGATTGTGGGGGGAGATATGAAGCGATTCCCTTTGTACGAATCTCCTGAAGTCTGCGCAGATGTTTTCATAATCCTCCGGAAGTGCTTGGCCGACACTGGTTCTTCGCCTCAGAGATAAGTTCTTTCTCTTCATAAAGCCTTTGCACCACATTGCCGATGCCCTGAAGTCCTGGTGGCCAGATTCCCGCGCTAGCTGCAATGCCTTCTCGCGAATGTCTTTGACAAGCACTGCTCGGCTTCCTTCTCGCGTCTGCACAATCCATGCATAGAGAGCTTCCTCTATTTCCTCCACCTTTGGCTTCCCATGACGGTTGGCACGTTGCCTCAGTGGCCTATCCTCTAAATTTTCTTTATCGGCCTTCCATCTTCTAACCAGACCATCAGAGACTTCGTAGCGAACAGCGGCAGCCGATGTTCCATGTTGCAGGGCATATTCCACCACACCAAGCTTAAAAAGCGTGGTGTAGGACTTCCTTCTGGGAGCCATTGAGATCCGAGATACCTGAACAGCTTGAGTTACAGCGTGTGAGAGTATGTTGGAAATATAGGGCTCTGCGTGATTGCGAACTTCGTTGAGTTAGTGGTCATTGCACACTGGAATCACGCAGAGTCCTATAAATTTGCGCTGATCATCGAAAGGTTTACTCTTTTACACGAAAAGCAGGCGGCATCAAATTTGACTACACTATCTTTTGTCTTGGGTGTACAGGCTTAATGAAACAACAATTGAGAAAAAGAACAAAGAAGCCTAATGCTTTGCTAGGGTTGAGCGTTTTTAGACTGCCACTCTTCCGTTCATTAAAGCATTTGACAAAAGCCGTAGTGAAAAAACAAAGCATTACAAAAGCCGTGGGTCAACAGAGACTACGTTCACACCATGAAAACAATAGAGGCAAAAAGTATAGGCAGTCAGGTTCGAGGGCTGTAGCCTGTACAGGTTCGAGAGATGTATTGAAAACATTGTCGCCTCCAAAACGATAAGATGAATGATAAGATGAGATGATTGCAATGATACAATGATGAAACCTATTATGATTCTTTTCATCGGCAGAAATCGCTGAATTTCGTACATGTGTCATATATAGGAAAAGAACTCACCTATCTAGCGTACGCGATGACGAAAACGCGGCTGTATTCTGAGCAAGTAGCTTTCACTGCTCTTCAAGTCCTCAGACGGTTCTTTTCAGGCGCTTTCACGGCTTGGTTTGAAGCACTAGAACATTTGATATCCAAAACAACTTCTCTGTAGCGTTTTGCAAAACTACGAACCGTTTGTGTCTTTGTACTTCGTCACTTACTGCTTGGAACAGAGTATGCGCGACGATCAGCGTTCTAAAAAAGCTTTGTAGGAGATGCGTGTACTGTAGTTAGCCTATATCATAAACCTCCCCTGCCTAACATTCCTGAAAATGGGGTTAAATCCTACCTTACTATCGCGTCATCAATTGCAACACACAAGAAATGTTATATCTAAGAAAAGAACTCACCTATCCAGCGTATATGATGACAAATCCTCGGCGAAACTGTCAGCAACTAATCTGCACGGCTTGTCGAATACTTTGGCTCTTCCTTTCAGGCGATTTTGCGGCCTTGTTTAAATCTACACCGGCAAGCTACGCGGGCGGTCGCGCGCGTTTGTGCTCCTAGGTCGCGCTTGCTCATGCTCTCAGGACAGACGGACGTATCTGCGAGACGATTTAGGCGGACTTATCTGTGACACCCTTTGCGGCGTTTTTCCATCGATTTTCCTGCCAAAACTGCAGATAAGTCCGCTCTTATATGACGGATTTTAGGGTAAAAGCGCTGCCGGCTGCTACAGGCGCGGTATGAAGGCACCATATGCTAAGCTTGAGCAACTCTCTGTATTCCAGGGATATTTCAGGCAAATGGCCCATGGATTTTGGCTTCGAACTTTGCTCACTTTCAATCGTCACTACTTGTTAGGGGCTCTGCCTTACTGAACGCCTTTCACACTTTTTCACGTCCATGTTTTTGTGATGCCACATAAAACACAGAGATGAGCAGTGTGGCCCGGTGCAAATCGGCAATTCCCCCCTTTCCCTCTCCTCTTTCTCTCCCCCCCCCCTAATTCACAGTACAATACATAAACACATTAGCAAAATATATGTCTTGTTTGCTGTCTAAAAGGGCGAGTTGCTCGATGGAATGCTGCGACGCTATAACCTGTGGGGTAAGAGTTTGTCCCGCCGCTGGATCCATGAAACGGTAGATATAGGCGCCGTAAAACCTAATTGCCCGCGCCGTGCCTTGAACACCAGCGTAAGCCAGCAGTCGTCGCGAACGACTTTCGACGTTCACTATATTCCAAAAAATCTTTCTTTAAATTTCATGTTGTTATCGTCAATGCAAAGTATATCTCGACGAAAGCCCCCTCAAAAGTTTAAAAAAATATGTGTGGAAAGGACGCCCGCTCATTGTCTCTCTGAAAAAGCCTGTAGCGTTTCGGGACTAAACGTTTCCAGCCGCGCCGCGCGTTGGTGTTCAAAGCGACACGTGGGCAGTTGGGTTTTACGGGGCCTGTAGGTTGGTATCAGAGTAATCCGGGAGAACTGAAGAGCAATTTGGTGCAATTTGGTGACCGGGTAATACCGAAGTCATCTTAGGCCCCGGGCAGACTTCACGCGATTTGATCGTCGCGACTGAATCGCGACGAGACAACTGTTACAACAGCATTCCATGCCGATCAACTTGCATTCGGTTGTGATACTTTCCCAGACCGAAATTTTTGAATGTGAAATGAAAATGAATGGAAATCTTGGCGATTCAGTCGCGACGATTAAGTCGCGTGAAGTCTGACCGGGGCCTTAGGCTTGAACGCATCCAATAATTATCTTAAGTTATTGGATGAAGTTTCGTTTACCGCAGTGTCAAAAACCCAAAAGTCAGACCTTTTCTTATTTCATATGTTGCTCCTCTATATTGAGTGTTCCGTGATATGAAACTCGAGTAAGTGAAAAGTGTCTGATGGAAGCTGAATCAGTCAAGTAACTCTCAACTTTGGCAAACACTTTTACACGTTTCGTGAAAATTTATGTGCTAGCACTTCATCAATCACAAACATCCTATCAATTACAAACGCGAAGCGCTTAATATGTGTTCTATGTTTCTATGCAGTTGTACAAACAAGAAAAGACAACTTCTTGGGTAGAAGCTTCGAGTAACATTTGTCCCATCTCTTTCTCAGTGCTTCTAGGACTAATTGAGTGATTCAAAATCTCAGCATTTTGCCATTTTGTTTTGACTGTTTGGCATTGGAGGGCATGGAGGAGGTGGTGTCGTTTCCACTGCTGGAAAAGGAAATTTCCTTTCTGCAAAATCTCACGACTTACCTGAATTTTCTGCATTCGCTTAAAACTTTGCACTTTATATTTGATCATGCATGTTAGTTTCTAAGCTTGAACATTCGCTAATTCGACTAATATTTGTAAGATCAAGCGATAAGTTGGACCGTTTCTTGCTTCCGTAACTTATCAATGTGTCGACTGAATTCACTTCTGACTATAAGATTGATGATGAAGCGGAAAAAACACACAGTAAGGACTGCACGTTTACTATAAAGACTGATTCGCTTTTGATCGTGCAATAAATCATGCATTTGTTCGAAACATTCTTCACGCACGTTTGTGGCGTGGTGGGCATGGGCAGTATGTTGCATCTGCGCCTGGTTTGCCGTCCTCTCCTTTCTATAAGCAGTTAATTCAGTTAGTTTTGTTAGCAAGCATACTCAACTTACAGGTCCAGGTAGTCCGTTACGTCCACGGTTTCCATCCTTTCCGTTGCGACCTGGACGACCAGGAGGTCCTGGTTCTCCGTTCTTTCCGTCAGGTCCGGGTGGTCCCTGTTCTCCTGGAGGTCCGGGAGGTCCTGGTGGACCACGCATGCCTGGCATTCCGGGAGTGTACTGAGTTCCTGGTTCTCCAGGAGGTCCTGGTGGGCCTGGACGTCCAGGCTGTCCTGCTGGTCCTGGTTCGCCGGCTTCTCCTGGCTCTCCAATTGGTCCGACGTCACCTGGTGGTCCGCGTGGTCCAAATGGTCCTGGTGGACCAGCTGGTCCTGGGTCTCCAGCCTCTCCGCGTGGTCCAGGTGGCCCTGCAGGGCAGCTAATGCAGCCTCCGGGAATCTCATGAGTTACGGCGAGAGCAACACCAGGAGCGCCAGGTCTTCCGTCTTCACCATCTTTTCCAGGCTCTCCAGGTTCTCCCTTAGGCCCTTGCGGTCCAGGGGGTCCAGGTGGGCAGTCCCTGGACTTCTCCCCACAGTTACACTGATCTGGGAAACCATTTGCTCTGCGCGTACGGCGTCCAAATAGAGTGACAAAAGTGGGAGGAACATCAGAAACGCCACCAGGATTTAAATGTTTGGTCAGAATACGGTTCCAGGTGTCATCTGAGATGGCCTAAATGCGAAGCAATAGCGCTACAGTAACTTCGTAACAGTTAGCACATTACCTTGAACTCGTCCATGCCGACCTGCACCTCCATTTGCAGGTCAGAGATGTCCTTGAGCAGGGAGACCATAGTGATAAGGGAGGCGACCACGATGGCCAAGGTGGCCACCGAGCCGACGAAGACCACGTTACTCATGCTCGACTGGCTGACTGTTTAGTGTGGAGCCTTTATACCAACGGAAATGTCACAATGATCCTAGCTGTGACTGCTTTGCCGATAACTGTACAAAGAACTACGTTCAAAATAATGCTTTTTTCCGATTATGAATCTTTATTCTTTGCTGCGATTGTGACTGCTGGTTTCGGTTGGTTCATTTTCTCGCTTTTTTATGCGTTATAGCCCAACAGAACAGGTCTAGTGCGAAAAAGTTTGAAGGGTTTTTTCTTCAAAGGCATACGCAACACTTTAAGGAACGCTTCTGCTTTAAGATTAATGACATGCAAAAGGAAAGTGCGTGACGTTACACGTACTTATAACAGATCACTCATATTCGTCTGCCACGAAAAAATACTATGAGGCAGTGTAAAGTATACCAAGGTGGGAATTTCTGCAAGAAAAGATGAATTATGGCTTTTCATGCTTTTCTTACGTCTTGTCTTCGTGATAACCTACATGGCTTGTAAGATCTCTATCCACTGTAAAACAGAATAGTAACGCAGACAAGTATTACTTATTCTTGATATCATGTTCAGCATCAGTATCAAGCAGAGGATTCGTGTGCTGTCACAAAAAAACTGACTCTCAGCTCGTCAAGTACAGTTCCTAAGTCGTTGCTAACAACACGTTGTTGATACTCGTGAATCAGCTTATAAACTGCGGAAAATTATGGGTTCGAAGTGAATTGAGAAGATACAAGGCCTTGCAGACAGAGCGGCGCCTGGCATTCCGAAAAATATTTAAACTAACTTTCGAACTTTCAGAACTGAGTAAAACTGATGCATGCTGCTCGCCAGCAAAGTAGGTTCAGACATTCACGACAATACGACCCACCGGTGCGTCGTACGTGTACTGTCATTTCGGACATGCGACCCACCTCTGGATTTACTACTAGGCACTGCAGATTTACGATGGAAGTACATGAGATGTTCGCACATGTTTGGAGACATCTAAGGGAAGCCTAACCAGAAGACCATCTTTTGGACCATACGACTCATCGTCAATCGAAAAAAAGACACGAGAAAGTTGATACCAGTGGGTCGTATGTCCGAAACGGCAGAAATAGATAAAATGGCCGTGTCGTGAATGTGATGATGACAGTAAAGTTTCATTTTTTTTATAAAGTTGTAGAATTGTACTTGATCAAAATTCGAAAAGCGTGACGATTGTCAATATTGCCATCAGAGGACCTGATGTGATATTGTTGCCTTGTAGAGAAGCTTCCAAAAATCAACACATCAATAGTGATTATGGATAACGTTGATCGTAATCTATAAAATGAGTTATGCGATGCATTTACCGGTGGAGGTCTTTACAATGGAGGTCTTTACAATTTGAGTAAAACATAAACTTTTTATTTTTTATTGTAATAATCAGGAGAGGTCTTAGGTTTACCACTGTGAAAAAACTGCAGATAGAGCGATTGACTTGACCATTTTGTTTAAGCTCAATTTGTGTAATAATCCGGGGTTCCTCAAAGAGCCCACAAAGCTATCATCAGAACTACGCTTGTGTATAAGACTTTCATACTACATATTTCTGAGTAAAAGGCAATACATCTCGTAAAAATGCAAAATATTGAGCTGTCCCATAACTTTTTTCATTTTTTGATTTTTACTGTAATAGAATAGGCATCAGCATACCATTTGATAACGCAAAGCAAGCTCTACAAATGCTAATCATTCTTTTCCATCAGCATTGCTCATCTCAGGAAAACCAAAATCTAGGAAAGCCTTGATGCCCAAAAAGTAAAAAAAATACATGTTTTTGTCCAGTAAAATCCTACTAATCTCTCACTCGCTCATGTGTATGCAATCTACGTTAGAAACTCATATATATGGTTGTTGCATTTTTTCCTTGACTAGAAATCAAGAAAGCGCAATTTTCATGTTTCTGCCAAAACGATGTTGTGCTGTTCCCACATTAGTTATTGTATGCTCAAGCCTTTAGAAATGTTACCGTAAACTTTTAGCTCTCCACAAAGTCCAGCGAGTACTATTCATTTACGCATGAAATCGAGTGAGGAAAGCTGATTTCGATATTTCTCGGAAAGTAAAGCTTGTATAGAACTGAAAATTTACGATGTTGCACTTCCAGAGGCCTGACCGTACAGTGTCGTATATGGAGACAGACCAGCATCACTTTGGGAGCATGATTTGCGTTTTCTTGATTTTTAGCCAAGGAAAAATATAACAAGGATATTGAATGTCTGACGTAGCGTATAGGCGTGAGCGAGGGAAATCATAGGATTTTACTGGAAAGGATATGAATCTCTCCAACTTTGGGCCTTCAAAACTCCTTAGATACTGGTTTCAAGCTTGAGGTGAAACAAAACTGGTGCAAAAGTATAAAAGCTATTGTGAAGCTTAAAACCTTTGTTAGAGCTTTGCTCTAACAAATGGTGTCCTGATGTTTATTTATAAGTAAAGTGTATGACTTATCGCAGTATAAATCCAAAAATGCAAAAACTCATGGGACAAGTGATGGTTTTATACGTACACTTTTATCAGGATTGTTAGGCTTTTATATAAACAAATCAAAACTAGTGCAGCTCGCAACAGCAACTTGTTCTAACCGATACCGCACAAGGAAGACCGCATCGATCCCACTATGGCTCGTGAAACCACAGGGTGCGGAACAAATAGTGTCCCTCATTTTTGCCTCATAAAAATCTTACACACTTGATTATATTATGTAGGTAAGATGGAATTCAGACTAACAAGATAAGTTTGATCTGAACCAGTCTTCTTCCTTCCATTCAATCAAGTGATAGTAAGCATCATCGACGATGCGCCGCAGTGTTTGAGCGCGATATAGACAGTAAATATCATTCATTCTTTGACTAAGGGCCGTATGCACTAACATCCCTGCGGCGAGGGGAGCGGCATCCCCATTATGAAGGGGTCGCGTGCGGACGCCGCTACGACTTTTACATCATTGGGGACGTCGCTCCCCTCGCCGCAGGGATGTTAGTGCATTCGGGCCTAAGGGTCGCATGCGTTACTTACCATCCCCACCGGGAAAGGGATCGCAGCTTACAAAGAAATCTTCATATCCTGAAGCTCCGAACTTCTGGTTTTTACGCTGTCTACCCATCCGTAAGTATTCCTACCATCCTTCACTATGAACATATTGAACAGGAGCGAAAGGCTGTACAGGCCGCATTTTTTAGCATTTTGTATGATCCCCATGATGATCCGTGGCGGCCGACCGTCTTTTCTTCACTGATATTTTTCTTCCTTCAAAGTCAGAGAAAACATTCCAAAGTTGTACTGTTCATCTAGACCAACAATGCTAAGCATGTTGCTGATAAGAACAAATGGAGTATTGGAGTCATGAAATTCACGATTAACCACAAGTCGAATGTCTCAAACATCTGTTCTTATCAGCAGCATGTTGAGCACCTGTGTTAGCTGCTCAGCAAACTTTGGAAGGTTTTCTTAACTTCGAAGGAAGAAAAGTGACTTTGAAGAAAAAAAGACGGCCGGCCCTCGGAGATCATCAGGCGATCATATAAAATGCTGGAAAATGCGGCTTGTATCGCTTCTCATTCATTGTTCAGTATGTTCAGAGTGAAGGTAAGAGTACTTACATAGATATAGGAATAGGTATATACCGTTAAATCCATATATCTGACGCTTCAGGATGTGAAGCCTTCTTTCTAAGTTGCGATCCCCTCCCCAGAGGGATGTTAATGCATGCGGCCCTAAGAGGCGCGAGTACGCTTTGCGTACGTTTGATTAACAACTTCATAGATGAGCATAACGCGTTTCGGTTTATTTACTATTGGAATTTGTGAAAGAACATGTTTGAACCAGCATTGTTTAAGATGCTCGAACATGTGCCTCTAATTGTAAGAACCTAATAGTAAGTCAACCAAAACGCGTTAGTCCTCATCCATGAACTTGTTAATCAAACGTACGCAAAGCGTGCTCGCGTCTCTCAGTCACAGAATGAATAATATTTGAACAGTGTTATCAACTTCAAATCAAAGGCAGTAGATCAGCAGAACGGGTCCTTCTCGGATTTTGGTGGATTTAGGTAGTAAACCATCCAAGTACGCTGTAGCCCAAACCCCACCTACCAATCCATCGCTAAGTCCTGGAAAATGCGCTTCAAATTTCCACCACCCCCGCCCACTCAATGGAAATTGGCGTGGCTGGAGGAGATTTGAAGCGCATTTTTCAGGACTCAGCGCATGAATTGGTAGGTGGGGTTTGGGCTACAGTGTACTTGGGGGCTCTACACCTAAATCCACCAAAATTCGAGAAGGGTCCATTCTGCTGATCCACTGCCTTTGAAGCGTATGTAGAGCATGATCTTTCTTTGAAATTCTAAACATCATGGATCAGTGACTTATTTGACCAGAGAGATGTATTAGGTTGCTGCATAAGTTCTGTCCGATTTTTATTTGCCTTATGTTTGAAGCAGCTGTTCTAAGAGAATTTCACCTCTAATGCAGTATTGGTAGTATCATTAGAAAGTGCTTTCCTTGCTCTTTCTAACGCATATCAAATTTCAATAAATTTCTTAGTGTACGGAGATTTCAGGCCTAAAATCTCTAGGTGGTCGAGGTACGTTCTCACCCTAGAAATATGTTCTTGCGAGGAAATTTCCACAGTGCGCCCTTCAAGTCAAGTTCTTTCGTTGACTGCGGAATGAGGATGTAGAAGGCTAGTATATGCAGAAGTTCGGTTCCATGAAGAAAACGTCTTGCAAACAAAACAAAACGTCTTGCATTGTCAAACATTAATTTTCTGTACAGATGTTTAACAAGCAATAACTTTCTGCGAATAGAAGTAATCGATAAGCTCAAAGTTGGAGGTGCTAGGGCAAAGCAAGAGCTAGCAGGTCCCATCCACCCGTTCTTTTTCGGCGCTCACGTCAGTTTGAAATTTTCAAAATTCGTAATTAGGCTTGCACACATGTGCTGAAGCGAGGTCAAAAAGTGGCTTCTTTTTTGTTCGGTCAAAAAAATCTCTTGGCAGCGCAGATTCTATGGGCTCTTTTATGTTGCAAAATATTTCTCTATTCACCCTTTGTGGAATAAGATGTTTATCAATTCT